CATTCTAGAAAATGACAAACTGTGGTAAGTATTAATTTGTCACCTTTAGGCATATGAACTATATTTGTGGTTATATAACAAAATCTAAAATGAACCAGAAAATTGTATACAGTAAATATGCCCTCAATATGGCAATTTTACCCTCAAGGGAATAAATTTAGAGTGTTGGAGGAAAAATAGAGAAATAGAAGAAAAAAAGAGATTAGAAGCAAGGCTGAAGGATTATGTGAACTTTAAGAAACTGGTGAAGAAGACATGAAGGAAAGAGAGAAGGAAGAAATAAGAACAGGAACAGACCAGATCAATAAGAAAACTAGTAAAAATGTTCAAATTCATGTAAAAACAATAACAAACAATCAAGAAAAAAGAAAACAGGGCCAGGGATTTAGCTCAGTGGTGCTGCCACTTCAGGGCATGTTTCTGCTGTAACTGGTAGACAGAATGGGCAGATCCATGTTGATTAATCCAAGCAAGTCAGCCATAGATTTAAGGTGGGGTAGCAGATAATACTAACAAGCCTGCACCTTAGGTCCACTGAAATTCAAACTGGTTTCTAGCTGTGAGGCTGGAACCCAGTGTGTGAAGCCTGCAACACTCCATATGCCTCCTGAGGGCTTAAATTCAGCTCCCCGCAGTCTTGAATTTGCTCCTTGACCTTCTGCTAACTTAAACTCCATTCTACCTCACCCTGACCTCACTTGACCTGCTAAATGGAGTTAGCCTGCAGTTACTCTGAGTTCAGAGCTCATTTGGCCTCTCTCCAAGATGGTTACTGGTCAATTGCCCTCTCCCAGGAAATGTCCAATACTAAATAACTCACCAGATACTGTAGTCTGCTGTGTTCACTGCTCCATTCTACTAGCACATTTCTCTGCAGTGGCCTCTGGGGTCACTAGTAGTCACCATGCTTCTGCAAGTTTGAGCTGCCTCTCCCACACAGTGGGCCTAGGCTCAGGAAGAAAGCATTGCTTACTACCTCCTTCTCTTCTGTTGAAGTCTCTCTCTTCACTGTCCCTGTGGGCTTCAATTCTTGCTTCAGATCCTTATCAGGGAACCACTTCACTCCTTCTTTTCCTCACATTGCTATATTCCAGTGTTTAGATACCAAATCTCAGACAGGCTGTTTCTCTGATGTTCACCATTCTGACATCTTCCTGGAAGTAATTTGAAAAAGAATTTTACATAGCAAAAAACACATACATTTACCACTTAAGAAATAAAATATCGCCCATTTTTTTATTCCCAAATATTACTTTTCAAAAAATTCTGCTTTACTGGAGCCAGTAGTCATCAAATTTAGCTGTACTTTAGATTAAGTGTTTAGATACAATCTCAGAGAGGCTGTTTCTCTGATGTTCACCATTCTGACATCTTCCTGGAAGTAATTTGAAAAAGAATTTTACATAGCAAAAAACACATACATTTAACACTTAAGAAATAAAATATCACCCATTTTTTTTTTCCCAAATACTACTTTTCAAAAAATTCTGCTTTACTGGAGCCAGTAGTCATCAAATTTAGCTGTACTTTAGATTCTCCTAAAGCTTGTAAAAATACTGACACTCAGTTTTCATGCAAACTAATTAAACCAGAGCTTCTGGAAATAGACAGCAATGGTTCAAAATTCTTTAAGTGACTCCAACATGTGACCAACTCCAAGAGGCTGCAACTGGAGGTGGGCACAGGGCAGGTGGGATGGCCCTGCAGATTGAGTGGCCACAAGATCTATTTCCTGTTCCTGACCAAGGATCAGCACTTTGCTGGTGGAATCTCATCTGTCCTGCCCATTTTGAAACTGGCAGGGCCTTCCCACATTTTTGGGAAGGAGCTGCCACCTGCTGGCCCAGTCAAGAACAACAGGCACTAAATTTGCTGCACAAGGACCTTTGAACCAAGTGTTATGGTTGCAACACTGAACTTGGAGCTCTTCCTCCTGTCTACTGGAGGCCACTCCCCAAAACAGCTCTAGGATGGGCAGGGCCAGGCAAGAAGAGCCATTTTGTTTCTCTTAATTGTTCCATGCATTTATCATTAGTTATTACTAATGCAAAAAGAGAGGACAATAAGTTCAGTCTTCAATTTCATAATACGCACTTCAGGGAAAAATGTCACCTAGGTGGATCAACAGTATCCCAGATTCCCAGCAGATTCATACCTGGAGGAGGTGGGCTTCATACTCCTGATGGAAAGGGTCTCATTCCTGGAGGGGCTATGCTTATTAGTGTTCCTCAAGTGGGGGGAAACACAGTTGGTGAGCCCATGGGTGATCTAACACCATGTGCAGGAGCCATAACACCCAAAGGCAGGGTTGCTCCATCTGCAGGTGGGACAGAGTCTACCATTCTGGGTGGGTACAGGGTTGGGGCTCCAGTAATGCCAGCAATACTAGCAACAGCAGCAGCTGCTACACTGCCTTTTTCCTGTAGAGTCACCTCAGCTCTTCAGGCAGGGCCTAGTACTCTACTCAGAGCCTGGGGAATTTATACATTCACCTGCCAATTCCCCTCCCAATCCCAGGACCTCCAGTAGCTGCAGCCAGTGGTACTGAACAATGCTAGTATCTTTAAGGAACTTCTCTTCCCTTGTCATGGATATCCTATTCCCCTCACACAGTTACCGGGATCTGAGGTACTATATTCTTCCCAGGGAACCTTTGCAGGTTCTTGTTTCCCTGAATGAAGAATTGGGCAGAACACATGAAAAAGTAGCAAGATTTTACACTTATTAAAGATAGGAAAAGAACTATTCTCTGCTGAGTGCAGAGAGGGCCACTGAGAAGGCTAACAGTGGCCATGAGGCCAATAGCAACAATCTTTGGTATCCCTATTCTGACATCAGATCTAGGCTATCCTCTCAAAAAAACCTGCTTGATTTCACACCACAAGAATTAAAGATAGCATTCTATGATTGATCCCAGGTGTAAGACTTGTGCACATGTGTCCTGGACCTCTAGGATTGATGGGTCATGCCCACTTGCCAAGTCGGCTGGCCACGCCTTAATCTCCTGCCTCAACACCAAACGTCAAACCTATTGTTCTTCATGGTTTGGCTGTTTCCCTGTCTTTGTCTTGATCTTCCTGAACTCGTCACTACCGCAGAGAATCGAACTCAAACCCTTAAAGGTGCAAATGATGATTCAACTGTCTTGTAGGACACATTACATTCTAGTGAATGCAGGTCAGCATCTTGCTGCTCTTGCCCAAGGTCATTATTGTAGTGCCATCAAATCCAGGGCCAACAATAAAATGTTGGGATCCTTAATACCAGGGAGAAATCAATAGGTAAAGATATGATGCAAGTTTGCTGAGAAATAATGCAAGCTGGGCAGGAGCTTCACAAATAGTGAAATCAGCTGCCTTACTGTTCCTGTACTGCTTTAACCCATCTTGGTATCTCAGCTGAGAATGCCTGTCTTGGATCTGCTAGGAACTCAGCACTTCTGAGAATGCTTTGGGTACATCTGACACTCTTGTTGCTCAGTGAGGCTGTCAGTCCTTCTAAGCAGGCTCAATGAGATGCCACCTCCGGGCTGTGCTGGTCTAGGTCACCTGAGGTAGAAGTCATCCTTGGTTGTTCCATCATATCAGGCACCTCCAGTGGCCACTCTGCACTGACTCATTTTTATCTGGTAACACTACAGCCCCTCAAAGATGGGTTGGGACGGTGTAGAGCTCACCAATCCTTCATGGCCTCCCAAAAGAGAGAGGGGAAGGGTTGGTGGGAAAAAAAATCACAGGATGAAGGGATATTTAAGAAAAGATGTTCACCTAGAAAAAAAGAAGCAAGTACCACTAGAGAATTCTGGGAAGAGAACTGAAGGTGTGAGAGAGGCAAGTGTCACCATCTTCAGGTAGAAATGGCATCTTTTCTGGTTGGTGCAGAAATCATGTCAGCCCTGGTCCTTGTTCCTCCTTGCACAGATTTGTTGCCTGTTCTCTCTGCCTTGAACCATCTTCTTGCCCAGTCCTCTTCATCTGAGTAAACATTTGCTCATTACAGGTCTCAGTGAGTGGGCAGCCACACTTCTCCCTGGGTGCCTGCTCTGCCTGCCTGGACCCCCTGCCCCACCACCACCTCCAGTACCTCTGGTCTGGAATGGCCTATTTATTTGTGTACTGTCTACCTGGTCTCCAAATTCCATGAGCATGGGGATATCATTACATCACTGGTGCCTGTCCCAGAGCAAGAACAGTGGAAAATATTGGTTTACTGAATTAATTTTTTTATGAAGTTTTGGAACAGACACCATACTTTTAAAACAAAAATACTTTGAACTTTACCCCCTCAATGGGGTCTCCCTATAAGTACACTGAAAATAAATTTTTTCCTATTTAGATATCTATAAACATGTTGGAGGGGCAAGGAGGAAATAAATGATCTTACTTCCAATTGGTATCTGTTTTAAACTAACTATTCCACCTGTTTATCTAATCTGTAAACAAACATAGTAGGCAGCTACCATTTTGGGCCTATGAGCATCCATACCTATTTCTCCTTTAACGTAGGAAGAGCACTCCAGTTTTATTTTGGGACCCCCTACATTTTCTGCTTCTATTTTTCAGGGAAGCAGCCCCCAGCCCCAAGTTTAGGTATGGATAAGTGACTTGGGCTTGACAGTCACTGTATTCCAACTGCTTAACACCTGATTAGTTCTGGATGTGCACACGACCCAAACTGACCTACTGAGAGAGCCCTGAAACTTCTGCTTGAATTACTGGGGCCAGAAGACCTGGATGCTGAGCTGGTGTATGTTGGGAGCTACATTGTCAGGGGAAAATGAAAGGTAGCTAGAAAGTGAAGCCAAAAAAAGGAAGAAAAAAGACAGAGCTCTCAAGACAGATATCCTTCAATCCTAGCGCCCGGACATAATTTTTTCTGGAATATTCTGTCACATAAGCCAATAAAGTACCTTTTCCAGAAGTCAGTTTGAGAGTGTCTGTTGCTTGCAACTGAACAAATCTTAACTAACACAGAAAGCAGAACAAAGCATGTGACCTTTTTCCTTTGTTTTATTTTCTACCAAATCAATACATCATTTGCAACATTTCTAACATAGATCAGAACACTGTAATGTGCTGTTACATTACTATGTAATTTTTTAGCATATGAACTAAAAAGAGGCACATGATCATGTGGCCCTGTGGTCTCAAGCAGGACTGGGTTCTAAGGTTTGTGAGCCACAAAGTAGCCTGTTTTGAGTTTTCTCTCTTAACCTCCTTTTCCATCCCAGCACCTGTCACCACACCTCAGCACTGCTTCCAGGGGAAAGAGCCACATCATGGGCTGCAGGCCTTGCAGGTACACCTTGGTGCTACTTTGAGCTTGGCCACCAGTCTTCACATGGTCGCCACCTCTCCTGATCTCAGCCAAGAGTGGCCTGCTGCCAGCAGAGCTGCAAACAATGACCCGAGCTGCTTCTGCAGGATCTGGGGCCTGTCAAACTCCACGACCTGGAGAAAGGAGGGGAGGAGACCAGGACAGGTGAGCTCAATCTGGGAGGATCTGCAGGCCTCCTGTGCCAAGAGCCTTAGTATCCACCCATCTTCCAACCATCCCCAAGACACAAGCAACTTTCACCTTCCCATGGCTCATCACCAGGATTCGGTCACAGTTTTGAACAGTGGTGATGCAGTGGGCAATGACCAGCACTGTGCAGCCCTGGAAAGCCTCTCGGATTGTGCGATGAATCAAGGTATCGGTCTCCAGGTCAATGGAGGCTGTGGCTTCATCAATAAGGGTGACCTGGGGGGAAGAAAACAGGTGAAAGCAGGCTGCTTGGGCTACCAAGACTTAGGTCTTGGTCTTGGTTCTACCATTCATGCACCAGGCCTGTGTTTCCCAGCTGGAAAAGGGGATAATTGAGCTGAGTTCAAAACCTACTTTGCACTAGAATTGTCCAAGGCATTACCAACAGATGCTAAGTTTCAAACAAGAGCTAACTATACTTTAGTGACCAGAAGATCCTGGAAATGAAAATGGCTCAGGGCTGGGACAAACCCAGGGCCTCATTTACTAGACAAACACTCAACCCCTGAGATCCATCCCCAACCCTACCCCTAGGGACAATTTCTTGGGCTATTAATTACCTTTCCATCTGCCTGAATTCAACTAGAACAAACATCCCGAAAATGGGCTGGTGTGCACCTAGGAGGTACATGAGATGCCTATCGCCATATACAGATAGTCTCATTACTCCAATGTATCTGTACCTATTTAACAATACGCAATAAAAATTATAGCACAGAAAGCATGATGTGCAAATATAGCCCTTTTCCCATGAAAGAAGGAACTAAGAAGTTAAGAAAGGGCTACTGACAGGTTGTAAGTTCTACTGTTTGTGCCCTACAAAGAGGAGACAAATCCTACCTCTTTAGAAACCTTCTTCCCCACTGCAGGCCCTATGGAGCTCTTCCCCCTCAGGTCTAACAGTGTAAACAAACAGATTTTGCAATTACCGTGAATTGAGATGGCGTATGTGGTGTGCACTTGAGTGCATGTGTGGAGTATGCAGGTGGTGCAGGCACATGTGTGTAAGTGTGTGTGTATGTGTGTGTGTATGTCTACACATGTGGTGCCCCTTGTGTGAGAGCAGTTTGATCCTGGCCACTCCAGTTACTGAAATTATGGTGAAATACCTGGAAAACTTGAAGGAGTGATGAAAAACACTTTTATATCAGACATTTTATGTGCAACAAGAGCTGGGGGCATAGTTATGCTTTGCATGTGTGAGACCCTGGGTTACAGCCTCAGCACACAAAAACAAAAAAATAAATCAATAAAAACCATGCAGTTTCCCCCATATCAGCTGTCCTCTGAGTCCTAATTCTACTTTTTGGAAAAAGTGATGTCTTGCATTCAAGTTTTAAGAAGGGTATTCAATAGGCATTTTTTAAATCAGCTGGTTTCAAATCTTGCCTTCTTCTAGGAAAAAGGATCCTAATCTGGTTCCTGTCACCACCATTTCAGCTTAGTCGTAGGATTCAGAGTAACAAGAGTCCAGGCTGTGAACCCTCCCTCACCCAGCATGCCTCGTCCACACCCCACTTGCTCTGGAATGGCCCAGTGGCACAGGGGAGCCTTCTGGGAGCCTTGGCAAGAAGATACAGTATGGTGTCCCTGCCCTGTGAGTGCGGGGAGAGAGTCAGCATGGTTTACCATGCTGCACGGCACCAGTGATTAGTGACGGCCGCTCGGTAATGGCCTCTCACCTTGGAGTTGCAAAGAAGGGCTCGAGCAATGCACAGCAGCTGCCTCTCCCTGACAGAGAAATTGCCACTGCTCTCCTTCACTTCTGCATGCAGCCTCCCAGGGACCTTGGAGATCTGTGCCATGGGGAAGAAGAGACAACATGCAGGCCACTGTGGGGGACCTCAGGGAGCCACAGTACTTTCCTGTTGCATTTTGTGACAGTTCACCCTCCCCGCTCCCGCCTCCTGCCATTCCTTAACTGCAAAGGGGGCTTGCTCTCACCTTGGGGCCTTTGTACATGTGAGTTCTGGTGCCTGATTCTAGCAAAGATCTTTCCACTTGTCCGCCTTCATGTATGATTTCAGCTCAACTACCACATTCTTAAAGAAGCCTTTCCTGGCCAGGCATAGTGGTACATGCCTGGAATCTCAGCACTCTGGGAAGCTGAGGCAGGAGGATTACAAATTAAAGCTCAGCCTGAGCAACTTACCAGTTTAGCAAGAAGGTCTCAAAATTTTTTTAAAAGGCTGGGGATGTAGCCCAATGCAAAGGCCCTGGGTTTGATCCCTAGTACTTGGGGGAAAGAGAGGGACAAGAAGAGGAGGGAGGAAGAAGAGAAAGGAGCCTTGCCTGGTCACCTTATCAGAGGAGTTGTTTCCCCTATGCAACTGCTTTTGCCTCATAGTTACCTTTGCAGCATCTCCTACTCTCTGCAAGTGTCTCCATCCATTTTTTGTCTGTCTCCCATTGAATGCAAGCCCCAGGAGGTCAAAGATCTTTGCTTCACGCAGCCCCAGATCTTAGAACAGGGCCTGACACCCTGTTGGTACCTGGCCTTAGCCTTCATTAGCAATTCCAAATCATCTCTTGAGATTATTTAATCCATTATCAAAGCAACAGCATCTGGGACACCACGTGAGGGGAGCCCCAGAAAGCTGCTTTCCCTGTGAAGATGCCAGCTGAGAGCAAGGAGCAGACCTTGGAGCTACTCACAGTCTTGGTTAGGGAAGTCCTTTCCAAGACATCCCAGATCTGCTGGTCTGTGTAAGAGTCAGAGGGATCTAGGCTGAACCTGCCACAGGAAAGGAAGGCTTAACAACCTGTGAACACTCATTTTATATACAGTAAATGGCCAAAAATGGTTACAATGGGATTCCTGGGTTTAAGAAACTCAGCAAACTACCACATTGCTTCTGCAGGTAGCAGACTCCACATTTTGTTTTGGGACCACCTCATCTCCAACCCTCAAGTCAGTATAGGGGCCCCTATGCTCTAGGTGGGCTCCACAGCCCACTCTAAGAGTGTAGCACATGATCTGGATATGACCTAATCAGCACATGGGAATCCCCAGACACAGTGATTATGAGGTGTGATCAGAAATATAATGAACATTTAAGTCTTCTAAACTATTACGGTAAGAAACACCTTGTCATTAACCCCTCTCAAAATCTTCTCCCTCACTTCAAACACACTCATTATCCCATTGTTCTTGCCCTTCTGAAAGTTCTTGTTTGTTTGTTGTTTGTTTTGTACTAGGGATCAAACTCCTGTCCTTGTGCTTGTGAGGCAGGTGCCAGAACCACTGGACTAGATCCCAGGCACTCTCTTTGTGAGTGTCTTTAATTGTGTTATCCTGGCTGCCTCAATGGCCTGAATCCATTTTAAATGTTTTCATGGTCATTTTGACGCTGGTAGAGATCCAGAAGTCACATGGTGCCAGATTTGGTGAATAAGGTGGATGAGGACACAGTGTAATATTTTTATTCTACATAAATTGCTGAAAATATTTTGAATCAATTCAGAACATGGAAGCTGGGTGTGGTGGCACACGCCTGTAATCCCAGCACTCAGGAGGCTGAGGCAGGAGGATCGCTGTGAGTTCGAGACCAACCTGGGCTACATAGTGAGTTCCAGCTCAGTCTCAATCACATAGTGAGACCCTATCTCAAAAAACCAAAAAACAAAGAAACAATTCAGAACACAGAGGCTGCCATGACAGCACAAAGACACTCATGAAAGAGGACTTCTAGAACTGCTTCAGAAAGCAGCAAGAACCATAGGATAAGTGTGCTTGAAGTGAGGGAGAGGATTTTGAGCAGGATTAATGTCAAGGTGTCTTCAACTATCATAATTTCTTATTTAAATACACACACACATATATATGTACACACACACACACACACATATGGTGATAAATAAGGTGATAAATCAAAGCTTTAACACAACTGTGAGGAAAGATACACGGTCATTTCTGCTGGACTGAACAGGAGAGATTGCAACCATCCTGCCACAGAACTGGGACCCTTGGAGCCCCCAGGGGCCCACATGTAGCATTTGAAAATAAAGCAAAGGCAGAGCTAGGGAAAAACTAAGTCCTTGAATCCAGCCTTGACCTTTCCAGTATAATGAGGCTACAGAGGTCTCTTCCTTAAACCATTTGGTTCTTGCTATATGGCAGAATATACATAACATAGTAGTTATCATTTTAACTGGCCTCAAACTTGCCTAATGGTACCGGAGAACAAGACTGGGTCTTGAGGGATGACTGACAGTTTGGACCGCAGGTCCTCCAGCCCAATGCTGCAGATGTCCACCCCATCGATGAGAATGCGGCCTGCTGCAGGCTCCACCAGGCGGAAAAGAGCCACACCCAAGGAGCACTTTCCTATTGGGCAAGAAATACATGGAGCCTCAGTTTCCTGAACCTACACCAAAGGAAGCACAGGTAACTTCTGGCCTTTGCACCTGACCTCCTCCCTTCTTTGGTTCCTTCTGGAGCCATGAGCCAGGGGCTCCTCTGCCCCCGTGTCCAAAGCCATGAGCAACTTTCTGACAGCCTAGACCAGAGGTCGCCAATGGAACCCCTGTACCACAGCCAGGAACACACATGCTTATTCCACGCATACAGTGCTACAGTTACTTTTTAATTCTTTGTCACCATTTGAAAAAGCCCAAAGATTCTATATACAGAAATGCAAATTGCATGCTTCTCTTGAGACTCAGCAGAACTGGCCCATGTTCCCCAAGCAGTAAGTTGCTGGATCTGAGTGTAGCTAAGCTTTAGGTGGACCGGTCCACTTCTTACTCCAGATCCCCTCGGTACCCCAGACCCCTCTGTGTCCCAGCCCATGCACTTCATTCCTTACATCACAACCCAGGCCCTTTTCACTCATCAACATCAAAGCCATTTGCACTTTCAACCCCTTTCAGAGGTAAGGCCTGTGAAGACAGAAGCCGTGTCTTGTTCCCTTTTTCAGTTCCCAGGCACACAGTAGGTCCTCAGTAAATACCTACTGTGTGAGTGCTGTCAGTTGGACCACTGTCTGAAGGCTGGCTTCTCTATGCCAGGCCCAGCTCTCTCAGACCAACTGCAAGTGGAAACAAGAAGCATAGAAGATGAAAGGAGAAAGAGCAAGACGCTCATCATCTCATGGTGGTGACAGTTGCGTTCCTGGAGTGCTAAGGAGGCAAAGACCCAGTCACCCAGGGTGCTGCCTGGGCAAGGCAGCTCTGCGATGTCTAGGGCTAGAGATGAGGCACCCAGAAACCAAGTCTGAACAGTGTCTCTGAATTCAAAGGCACAGGAGAAACATCTGGACCAGATCTCCCAAGAGTGGCAGGAGCAGAAGGGCAAAGAGAAATCAAGAAGGTGGAAGGAAGAGGGAGAGGAAGGCAACTGATGAGAAAGGACCAGGCAGGGATTACGGAAAGGAAGGGAGGGATGGTGGGAGGACCTGACACTGATTATTTCCTCCATGGCCACCACTGCAAACTTAATTATCATTTGTATCCCTCCACTGGATCCCCCCAGAGGAGGAACCTGGGGTTTTAGTTACCCATGTCCACTCAGTGCAGGGGCCAGTACACAGTGAAGGACAAGGGAATACTTTGGGTGACCTGGCAAGTGGAAGTTCCCAAAAGGTCTGGCACCCAAAGGCCCCAAAAAGGGAAATGCTCTGCCCGAGGACTAAGCTCACCAGAGCCCGTCCTTCCCACGATGCCCACCACTTCTTGGCCAGGGATGGTCAGGTTGATTCCATTGAGGACAATAGGAGTGTTGTCTCTGTACTTCATCTGATAATCCTGGAATGTGATTTCCCCATGCTGTGGCCATGCAGAGGGACAACTTGCACCTTCCACACGTAAAGGGGCCTCAGAAATGAACATCTTATTTTTGAAGGAAGAAGTCAATAGTTATCAGCCTCTGCCTGTCCCCTGAAAACCTGCCCTTCCATACCAGTCTGCCCAGCACCACAGTCAAGCCATGACCATGCTCAGTGACCCGAGGCACACCCTGGGAGGAGCGAACATCCCTCCACCCCACACTCACCCATATGCACCCGAAATGTGCATGGTTTTGTTCCAGGAGAGTGAAAAACCCATATAAGTAGCCCCTCCTTGTTAGTCACACAGCACCTTTTCCAACTTACTGTGAGGCTCTGAAGAACTGAAAGTCAGAACCACAGTGACACTGGTAGCAGAAATCATTAACCACTCCTATTTAGAGCTCAGAGACCTTGGGTATATTTCCTCCCTCTCCATCCTCGCCCTAGGGCATGGGCCTTTGAGATGCATTTCACAGGTAAGGAAACAGGCTCCAACAAGTTAAATGATGGGTTTGTGATCACAGTCATGGGTCTCCACTGCTGGTGCAATGTTACAGCAGAAACCCTGGAGTTAGGGCAGAGCCCTGTGATTCACAAATCCTATGGAACCCTAGGCCCAGAGATTTGGCTCCCCAGGTCTCGCCAGCCCCAGGCTGTGTGATCCAATTAAACAGGACACTCAGCCCAGCCAAGACTCAGTTACATCTGGATAATTCAATCAATAATTCAATCGATGTCACACAATTATCCTCGTCTAGATGATTCAATCTTGCAAAGTTGTTCTATAATTTCATGATGCAATCTATATGTTAGGGAATTGATCATGTTAAAGTATGCTGTGACGCCGCCTCACAGGCTGCATTCTCCTGGTACATCTTGGCTCCTAAAATGACCTCATGCCCTTATCTCTGGTTTCCCTCCCCCCCAAGGCCACAGTGGTCCAGGAAAGTTGAAACCTGTGTCTGCAGGACTGGGCCCATAAAAGCAATCTGGCCTGTGATAGGTTAAAAGTAGCTCACTCCTCATAAATAAGCAATAGCCCACCCCAAAACTGATAAAAGGACCTTCCTTTCTTTGTTCTTCTCTCTTGTTCTGCTTCTTCTTCCTCTCTCTCTCTCTCTCTCTCTCTCTACCTTCCTGCCTCCTGCTCGCCTACCTACAATAAAGATCTCCTGCCAGCCCTCTCGGTGCATGAGTGGCCTAATTGGGAAGGGGCACCCGAAAGGGCATGCAAACCCCCCTTCACTATATAAAGGGCTCAGCCCAGTGCTTGACCCATAGAAGGGTCTCCTCTGTCACCACAGACAGCATAGTAATCAGCCTTGGCTATGCATCAAGCATCATGCCAAGAAACTTACAACTTTATCATTTCATCTCTATAATAACCCAATGAAGGACACATTGTTATTGACTCCATTTCAGAGAAAGAAGAGAAATTCAGCAAGTTGTGCAAGGTCCCACTGTGGATTCCAAGTGACAAAAGGTGGACTTGAACCAAAGCAATCTGTGCTCTTAACTACTATGACATCCATAGAAGCAATAGCACCGTGTGTCTTAGTTACTTTTCTCTTGTTGCTGAGACAAAATAGCTGACACCCTGAGTTAAAGGGGAAAGGGTTTGTTTAGCTCACAGTTTGTAGAGGTTTCAGTCCATAATCAGCTGCCTCCAAGGCAGAGTGGCACATAGCAGAGGGGCATCATAGAGGAGAGACGGTTCATGGCATCCACGTGGTAGCAAAAGCAACAAGGGTCAGACCTTAACAGCATCTTTCTACCCCTTTTGTTCTATCCAGACAACTGGAATTAGGGCAGTGCCAAGCCAAGCAGGGTACTGGTTTAGTAATCATATGCCTTTAGTCCTAACCTAACACACTCCAGATTCAGCCACTTTTGAAACAGCCCTATGACTGTATGAGGTTTGTGGGGGGCAGGATCTAGATACAAACCATAATACTGTGTTCCCCCAAAAAATAATTTTTCCCACTCTGTGGGTTATCACTTCATTCTGTTGGTGGTTTCTTTTGCTGTGCAAAAGCTTTTTAATAAGATGAGATCTTAATTACTAATTCTTTGTAAAATGCCCTGTGAAATTGGGATTTGTTTATAAAGTCTTGGCATACACCTGTGCCTTCAAGGGTTCTGCCTATTCTATCTTCTGTTTTAATATTTAGATCTTTGATAACACTTTTATTTCAGTTTAACGCATGGTGAGACATATGGGTCTAGGTTCACTTTTTAGCACATGGCTAGCCACTTTTCTCTGTACCATTTATTTAAGAAGCTATCTTTCTTCAAGTGAAGTTATTTGGCCCCTTTGTCAAAGATAAAGTAGCTGAGTGTGTTTAGAGTTATTATTGCATCTCCTATTCCATTCCATTGATCCTCAGGTCTGTTTTTTTGTTAATTGTTTTTTGCCAGTACCATGCTGTTTTTAACATGATAGCATTATAGTATAATTTCAAGTCAGAGATTATAATGCCCCTGCCTTGCCTTTGTTATTTGCTTTGCTATTCCAGGTCTCTTCTGGTTTTGTATGAATTTTAGGGTTGCTTTCTCTAGTTCCATAAGGTATGCTATTGGTACTTTGATCAGGATTGCATTAAATCTGTATAACAGTTTTGGAAGTATGCCCATTTTCACTATATCAGTTCTGCATATCCAAGAACAAGGAATATCTCTCCATTTTCTGATATCCACTTCCCAACTCCTTTTTCAGAATACTGTAGTTATTACTGCACAAGTCTTTCATTTCTTTTATTAGTTTGATTCCTAAGTAGTTCCTTTTTTTTTTTTTTGCCCTATTGTGAAAGGAGTTGTTTCCCTAAATTCTTTCTTCATGAGTTTGCTATTTGTGTACAGAAATGCTATTGATTTTTGAGTATTGACTTTGTATCCAGCCATGCTACTGAAGTTGGTTACTAAATCTGGAACTCTTTTAGTGGAGTTTTGGGAATCATCTATGTAGAGTTTCATGCCATCTGCAAATAATGATAATTTCATTCGTTCCTTTCCTATCATTAGTCCTTTCTCTGACTGAAGTTTAGAGAACTATATTGAACAGAAGTGATGATAATGGACATCCTTGTCTTCTTCCTGATTTTAGAGTGAAAGCTTTCAATTTTTGTCCATTTAGCATGAGGTTGGCTGCTGGTTTGTCATAGATGGCTTTTATCAGACTGAGATAAGGACCATCTATTCCTATTCTCTGTAGGATTTCTATCATGGATGGGTGTTGGACTTGGTAAATGCTTTTTCTGCATCTATTGAGATGATCACGTGGTTTTTGTTCTTGGTTCTGTTGATGTGGTGTATTACATTTGTTGAGCTGTGTCTGTTGAACCTTCCCTGCATCACTGAATCCTACTTGGTCAGATGTATAATCTTCTTCATGATTTGCCATAGGTATTATTTTGCCAGTATCTTATTGAGGAATTTTGCATCTATGTTCATTAAGAAAATTAACCTGTAGTTCTCCATTTTGGTTGGGTCCTTCTGTAGTTTTGATATCAGGGAAATGCTTGCTTCCAGGAACGAGTTTGGGAGTACTGCTTCCCTTTCAATTTCATTTAAGAGTTTGAGGAGTAGTGGCATTAGATCTTCTCTAAAGTTCTTGTAGAATTTAACAGTGAATCTATCAAGAGCTGGGCTTTTCTTTGTTGGTAATTTTGTTTCCCCTCCATTTCATTGACTGATATTGGGTTATTTAGAATTTTTATATCTTCTTGATTCAGCTTTGATAATTCACATGTAGCTAGGAATTGTCCATTTCTTCTGAATTTTCCATCTTATTAGAGTACAGGTTCTAGTACTAGGTACTGATGATCTTCTGGATTTCTGCAAGTTTATATTCTGATCTTGCCCTTTTCATTCTTAATGGCATGGACTCAATATTTTCTTTCTTTTTATTGATAAGGTTGGCTAAGGGTTTGTCAATTTTCTTTAATCTTTCAAAGAATCAACTCTCATTGATTCTTTTTATTGTTTTCTTAGTCTCAAGTGCATTAATTTCTGTTCTGATCATTATAATCTCTCTTGTACAGGCTTTGGGTTCAACTTGCTGTTCTTTTTCTAGAAGCTTGAGGTTCAACATTAGGTTATTTGCACTCACTTCATTTTTCTGATGTGGGAATTTACCACTATAAATTTCCCCGTAGGACTGCTTTCATTGCATCCCATGAGTTGCAGATCTCTCTGGGAAATAATCAGCCCTGAAAGCTAGAAAGCAAATATGCCTGCCCCAATCAGCCTATCCTTGCCTTACCTGCCATCACTATTCTCTTGCTCAGTGACTACTCTGTAAGGCAGGTAAGGCAAGGATAGGATGACTGGGGCTGGCATTTTTTATCTCTGGTTTTCAAGGCTGATTATTTTCCAAGTCTTACTTTGGGGGAAATACAGTTTATTGCTTCTATGGATGGCACAGGGGTTAAGAGCATAGATTGCTTGGTTCAAGTGTGGACTTGAACCACTTTTGCCACTTGAATCAGCTGTGTAACCTTGGGCAACTTGCTCAAATGCTGTTCCCTTTCTCTGGGATGGGAACAACAGTATCTTCTTCAGTGGTTACTGCCAGGGTCACAGAGTCACCACCCACCTCAGAGAGCTCCCACTTCAGACCCTGCCCAGAGCCTTGCCTTTTTGTACTGCAGCATCCTCTCCGCAGCTGTGAAGTACCCCTCTGTCTCCGAGCCAAGCCGGGCCGTGGCCTGGAACATGGATGCCAGCTGGAGGGAAGGAGAAGGCTCAGAGCTCAAGAGGCTACTGGGGGTGGACACGGGTTCTAGTACTCCCCAAACCACAGGCTGTCATCACCCACGAGCAGCTCTTCAAAGTGGAACGATTTCCCCATCAAACCAATCATGCTAATTCCACTTCTCTTTCCAGTGACTGGTTTAGCAGTAGGTCTGTGACACTACTGAGGACGATGAAGCATGAAGCAGAGTAAGCTGGTAGTGTTCTGGGACACTGTTTCTTGTTCTTTAAAAGGGACACATGGAAGAAAGTAGTGTCGTCGCCAGCCTTCAGCTGTCATTGTGTGAGACGACTGCTGGGTTGCAGCAGGCATTTCGTGACTCAGTATACAGCCCTGGAGACAAAGTCAGGCTATGGAAGGCAGAACAGAAGGAGAAAATGATCACAACTTTATGCTAGTCCACGCAATTAACCAACAGAAGATAGTCCTACCCCAGCCTTTAACCTTCACCAGAAAGTGAGTTTCCAGATGGTTGGGGCCATTACGACTTGGTTCTTTTTCTGGCCACCAGAAGCACCCCTGGCATTTACTAAGAAATCTCTTAGGGTTGCAAAGCCACATGGAGTGTGGTATGGACCCAGTCCCTTCAGAAGGCATGCAGAGGTTAGTGAGGCACTAGCTTGGCTGGAACAGAAGTGCATGTAGGCTACATGGGTTCATGTTTGCTCTGTGAGACAGGAATAACAATGGGCACCATTTCTGGAACATTTAGTCTGAGCCAGCCACTACTCCAGATGTTTTGCCTGAATCTGTACTATTGTGTACATGTTTCCTCACAAGCTGTGGTTTATTATCATCCTTTTACAGGTGAAGAATGCCAGACACACAGAGGCTAACAAACTTACCCAAGGCCACTCGCCAATGATTCAAAACTCTGGACATCCCAAGCCACCCAATCTTACCCACTTTGCTTCTGCAAAACAGGAAATATCAAATGGAAGGAGAATATCAAACAGAAGAAGCTGTATGTATACTGGATTGTAGTTCCAGGGCACCCCGTCCTCTAACTGCCCCTCTGGACTTGTGTGGCCTTTCCTGCAGTTGGCTCCAGGTCCTCAGCATGGCCCCATGGCTGAGGAGTGATTTCGTGTGTGCAAAGGGCTCCCCTCACTTGGTGCTGAGCCCCTGAGCTCAGGCCTCCTAGTCTGACTCCTGCAGCTCTCTAGAGGGACTCCAGGGTCACGGTGCTCAGCAGTCACCTCATAGACCACCAGCCGAGCTTAGCTCCCAACAAACACAGCCCTGCAGTAGTATCTGGGTATGATCACTGCACAACTGTCTGCATGAAAGGTGTGCTGCACACACCAGCGTGTACATACACCCAGAACATGTGCCGATACATAGACACGAATGCTGCAGGGCTCACCGGGAAGGTGTGGAGCCCCTTGCACACCCAAAATCACCCCTGAGCACTGGTGACAAAGCTCAGCAAGACAAACACAGGATCCCAAGCCAAATGGAGAAAAGGCTGCAGAGCCCCGAAGGAGCAGTTAATAGATAACCCCAGGGGAGGGGAGCCCTGGACCTGCATAGCCAGTCCCCTGAGGTGGTGTGAGGCAGCCTATGGCCTCCCAGCCCCACTGTGGGGCTCTGTGGGCCATGAACCCTGGCCAGCCCCACCTTCTCTGTGCACCCTAACACCAGTGCTGGGCGCATGGAGATCTCAGGCCACCAGGCAGCGGTCATTGCCTCAGAATCTCCTAGAAAACCTGTTTTTAAAGCTGCTCAAGACCCCAGCCCGGGATGTGACTTCTGAGTGTAGCCCCTGCCAACCCCACCAGACCAGACTGGCTGACACTTTCCAGGCTGACCCAGCAGTTGGCTTCACACCCCATGAGATGCCCTGTTTTCTAACCCCTGCCAGGTGCCAGTCAGCCAGGGTGCAAGTGGGAAGTTCAGAGACGTTGACCAGGCAACCCAGAGGCATGGCTCTCATCCTGGCTCTGTGAACTCTGCCTGTTGGCACAACTCCTTCCCTTGTCTGTGCCTCAGTTTCTCCATGGGCCTACCAGATGTGTAGGGCTCTGTGGCTATGGGCTCCCTTCACTTGTGGCCATCTATGATTCTATTAGATGCAGAGGTTAAACATAGACTTCCCCGCTCAGAAGTGCTCACAAGAAAACAGAGTAGGTTGGTTCAGAGCTCAGATCACACAAGGCCAACCCCAAGCTATAGCAGAGCCCCTTGACCCTGAATGTGACCAGGGCCACAGGGCTGAGAGTTGACAGCCCTGAGAGCACCACTGCCTATGAGCCCTCCTCACCTGCAGCACGAGGCTGATCACCATGGCTCTGTAGGAATAGGAAGCCGAGGAAATGCCAAACGCTACAAACAAGGCCACGACCAACGTTATCAGGTTGGTCATAATCTCCATCCTCAGCACCACCCACCTCGTGGAAGACAGGAACATCAGCAGGTAGGTGTTCTGTGTATCTACCAGCCTTTTAAACCTAGGAAGGAAAGCCCACACTGAGAACCATGCATCTGTCCACCTCAGGGCTTCCACAGGTGGGCAGTGGTCACTTTCTCCAGCCTCCAGCTCTCCACTGCCACCAACAGAACCTGAATTTTCTTCAGGGAAAGAAAAATCTCCTCCTCCTCCACCCCGTCAATGAGGGCTGGAGTTGATTGAATTGAGGAGTGGGTCTGCAGGTGTACAGCCCTTGACATACACCTTCCTTAGCCTCTGTGACTGTTTCAGGGACAGGTGGGCTCCCTAACTGAACCTTTGACAGACAGTGAATGCCAGGATTTATCCGTGAGTGCAGGGAAGACCCTTGCAGTGGGGTCAGGGGACTCTGAACTGCCATTCTGGGTCGGGGGTGGGGGGGGCTTGCAGCTACCAGGGGCCTCCTAGACATGAAAATGGACCTTCCCATCTTTCCCCTAAGGACAGCGCCCAGACAGGGCCCAGTGAAGTGAGTCCTTTCTCTACTTTCTTCATTTATCTGACCTAATGGGAACCCCACAACCTTTCTTCCAGCCTTCTACAATGAAATTTTCATAAGTACAAAGAAATTAAAATGTTCATTTAATGACATCCATTCCCCTCTAACTTAGCAATTGTTAATATTTTGTGATTTTTAAAAGTCTGTTCTTGGGCTAGGGATTTAGCTCAGCAGAAAGTGCTCACAAGAAAACAGAGTAGGTTGGTTCAGAGCTCAGATCACACAAGGCCAACCCCAAGCTATAGCAGAGCCCCTTGACCCTGAATGTGACCAGGGCCACAGGGCTGAGAGTTGACAGCCCTGAGAGCACCACTGCCTATGAGCCCTCCTCACCTGCAGCACGAGGCTGATCACCATGGCTCTGTAGGAATAGGAAGCCGAGGAAATGCCAAACGCTACAAACAAGGCCACGACCAACGTTATCAGGTTGGTCATAATCTCCATCCTCAGCACCACCCACCTCGTGGAAGACAGGAACATCAGCAGGTAGGTGTTCTGTGTATCTACCAGCCTTTTAAACCTAGGAAGGAAAGCCCACACTGAGAACCATGCATCTGTCCACCTCAGGGCTTCCACAGGTGGGCAGTGGTCACTTTCTCCAGCCTCCAGCTCTCCACTGCCACCAACAGAACCTGAATTTTCTTCAGGGAAAGAAAAATCTCCTCCTCCTCCACCCCGTCAATGAGGGCTGGAGTTGATTGAATTGAGGAGTGGGTCTGCAGGTGTACAGCCCTTGACATACACCTTCCTTAGCCTCTGTGACTGTTTCAGGGACAGGTGGGCTCCCTAACTGAACCTTTGACAGACAGTGAATGCCAGGATTTATGGGTGAGTACAGGGAAGACCCTTGCAGTGGGGTCAGGGGACTCTGGACTGCCATTCTGGGTCGGGGGTGGGGGGGGCTTGCAGCTACCAGGGGCCTCCTAGACATGAAAATGGACCTTCCCATCTTTCCCCTAAGGACAGCGCCCAGACAGGGCCCAGTGAAGTGAGTCCTTTCTCTACTTTCTTCATTTATCTGACCTAATGGGAACCCCACAACCTTTCTTCCAGCCTTCTACAATGAAATTTTCATAAGTACAAAGAAATTAAAATGTTCATTTAATGACATCCATTCCCCTCTAACTTAGCAATTGTTAATATTTTGTGATTTTTAAAAGTCTGTTCTTGGGCTAGGGATTTAGCTCAGCAGTGCTACTGCCTGCCTTGCAAGTGCAAAGTCCTGAGTTTGATCCCCAGTATCAAAAAATCAAACAAACAAACAAAACTCTGTTCTTTTAAAAACTGGTTTGAATTAGTTTTTCCTATTACTTCCAACCAAAAAGATCTCCCAGTTCTTAGTTTTCACATGCCACCACCACAATTTTCCAAATCAACACACAACCTATCCTATTACAAATAGTATCTTTCTTTTATTTGACTTAGTATAGCCTAGAATTAATGTTAAAAGAAATTTTTGTCACTGGTTTAAAATTATCAAAATAATGAGTTTGATGTGCTAATTTTTTTTTCTAAAGTATATTCAAATAGACCTCTCATTGCTGAAATAAAAAGTGTTTGTCTGTGTACAACTAAAACCATCCTAGGCCAGGGATTTAGCTCAGTGGCTCCACCACCTGCCTCACAAGTGCAAGGACCTGAGTTCGATCCCCAGTACCCCCCCAAAAAAACATCCTAGCATTCGGTGAGTAGTCACCCACATGCAGTGGTCCTTACAAATCACTCCAACTTCTCACTGTGAAATTTGGCACAGGCCATTCCAAATTCTGCCCATCTGACCCTTCCACAACGACTGAGTCACTTGCATTTTAGGGGCTTCATCAATTAAGTACAACAGAGCCTGGCCAGGTGTGGTGGTGCACGCCTGTAATCTCAGCACTCCATAGGCTGAAGCAGGAGGGTCACCGTGAGTTTGAGGCCAGCCTGGGCTACACAGTGAGTTCAAGGCCAGCCTGGATTACATAGAAGAAATCTAAATAAATAAATGAGACCCTGGCCATACAGTGGCTCTACAGATGCTCAAGCCACCTTGCTGTCCTTCAACCTTATGTCCCCAGCTTGGAATTTTTGCATCCACTTCTCCCTCTGTCTGGTCCCTGATTCTCACCTCCTATGGATCTCTGGCAGAGTCCTTTCCCTTGAGTTCTTCCCTGACAACGGCTCCAATGCCACGACAGTCTCTCTGTGCCCTCACCCTGCCGCATACCTCAGGGTGGGTACTGCATCTGCCACATCCTGCTGTGTCCCCACTGGTGCTATGCACATGGTACCTCTCAGTGTGAACTGGGTGAGTGAACCACTCCACCATCCTGTCTGCACCGTCTTTGGGAACCCTGATCACAGAGGGAGAACAGCGCCGTGGTTCATCGGGGCTCGGGTTATCAGATGTCTAAATCTGGGTGTCTAAATCTCACCCAGCACTCAAGGTGTGGTGGCTCAGACCATCAGACCAGCTCAGACCATCTCCTCCTCAAAGCTTCCCCTGGCCTCCCCTTTCCCTGAAGAACTCCTGGCATATTTTATTTGTTCCTTTCTTATACCACCTATCCTATTTAGTCCATGTTATTACAAACATATCTGTCCATGTCTCGTCTCTTCCACAGACTGTGAGATTCTTGTAGGGAAAGATTGAGTTTGATTATTTATTTAGAAATCTCTACATTGATAGTTCATATTACACAATTAAGCCTCAACAACAATCAGGACTTTTCTGTGTTTGTTTCAACACTCAGAAAGCAAATCTATGGGTTTGGCTAGTGATAGAAGTTCTGTTATTTAGAAAGTTACTGTTGCCCACTATTTCTATTAAAATTAGATATATGTTTGGATGTGAAATGAAAACTAATGCAAGGTGTTTTCACATAATAATATACCTTACAATCAAATATTATATATGTATACATTTTCATACATACAATCATTCTTCAGTGTTGACATGGGTTTGCTCCCAAGTCCCCCTGAGGGCACCAAAGCCCAAAAATAAATGCTCAAGTTTCTTCTATCAAATGCTGTAATATTTGCATAGGCACATCCTCCTCTGTACTTTAAATCGTCTCTAGATGACTTATGATGCCTAATGTGATGTAAGTACTACGTAAACAGTGGTTGTATTATATTGTTTAAAAATAATAAGGAAAAGTCCACACATGTTCACCACAGAAGCAGTTTTTTCTACTGAATATTTCTGGTCTTTGATTAATTGAATTCAAGGATGAGGAATCCATGGCCAACAGTGCATGTAAAATAAAATAGGCCTGTAAGGTTTACCAATATTTTCCAGATCACTTTCACTTTCTATTCTTCTAAACACCATCTTACAGATGAAGTTCTGGAGGGTCAAAGAAATAAATGGTCCCAACAGAGTTTTCAATCCCCTTCCTTCTCCCCACCAGCACACATCCCATTGTCCTCAGATGGCAGCAGGACTTACTGGCTGATGAAGTCCTCAGTCTTCCCATAGACACGGATGGAGCTTAGGCCCTGCAAGGAGGTGAGGATGTGGGAGAATAAAGGGGACCGGCTGTAGTTTTCCAGTCTCTTAAACACATTGATGGCTCTCTTGAACATCCTGCATGCAGATGAGGGTGAGTGAGAAACCACCCACCTGTGGGACCACCCAATCTGGGTTAGTCCTGGTCTTGCACCCAAGCTTCAAACCCTACTCATAAGCACAAAGAACCTACTCACACATAATAAATAAGGCAAGCAATGACTATAATGACTTCCATCAACAGGATGTATGGGGACAGCACGCTGGTGACCCCCAGAATGGGGGTCACCATCAAAAACAGGAGCAGGAACTCCTCAGCGACAATGGGCAACAACTGGTCCAGCTCATCCAAGTCCCCCAAAAAGCAGTTCAAGAGTCGGCCTATTGGAGTTGTGTCAAAGAAACTCATGGGGCAGCGGAAAACCTGCAGAGACAAAACCCACCAGAAACTGGTGACCCGCAGAATGGGGGTCACCATCAAAAACAGGAGCAGGAACTCCTCAGCAACAATGGGCAACAACTGGTCCAGCTCATCCAAGTCCCCCGAAAAGCAGTTCAAGAGTCGGCCTATTGGAGTTGTGTCAAAGAAACTCATGGGGCAGCGGAAAACCTGCAGAGACAAAACCCACCAGACCATGAATGCCACTTCAGACCTCGCTTGGGAGTGCATAAAGAGATTTGTTACCTTTGGACTCTGAAAAGGAGCAAGATGAGGGCTAACAGCACACAGAGGAGGTAGCCAATAGGCTCGACAGCCCATCTGCCTACACAGCTGTGCTACCCAGCTCCTCACCTGTTGCTGACATGGAAAGCTACTTAGTCCCCTGAGTCTCAGGTCCTCATTTGTAAAGTGGAATGAGAACAGTGCTTCATACACAGAGTTGTAGTGAGGACTGCACAACTTTGCAAATATAGGGAACATTTATGAGCTGTACAATGTACAGGGGTGAATATAACAGGATGTAAATTATATCTCAGTAAACAAGGAAAAGGCTCAGAACAGTGCCTCTTCTGGTAAGTATTCCATCCACACAGACCAGTGGTGGTGAATCTATGGCACACACAGCCCTCTCTGTTGACAGATGAGCCAAGTCACCCAGCAGCCAAGCACTGGATAGCAATTTTTTTTTCTAAGCTAAAACTTCAGTACTAAAGTTTAATTGCACTGTCGGCACTTGCAAAAGTAAGTTTTGAGAAGTGGGGTGGCCACTTGGTCTCTAAATGGTCTGCCATCACTATATAAGCTCTCAGTATCTTCTGCAGAAGGGGCCTTCAGGATTACCAATGACAGCAGCAGCAACGCCCCTGCAGTTGCAGGAGCCCTAACGATGACTGCCTCCTCCTCTTGAAGGTAGCACCCCAACTGATCTCTAAATGTCAGTGCATACAGGCTCTTTGGAGATCAAAGAACGTTTCAAACAGGAAGGGATCTAACATAAGCATCTAGTTCCCTGCCCATTTTTTAAAATTATGTTTATTAGTACATTTGCTGTACATAATGATTACATTCATCATGAGTCATTACATGTATATAATACATCCTAAATTTTTTAATTCCTCTTGTGCCCCCCCATCACTAATTCCCCTTCTTATTTGCAAGGATTTATTTCCCTGTACCTATAATCTTTTATTTCACTCTTCATTTGATCTTAGCCAAAAGGCTGAGAAATGATATCTTTTATTTTACTCTTTAAATTATTTATACTTTGGATTTCTCCTGTGATGCTTATGCTTCTATGTCTGGTTCATTTCACTTAATATTATGGCCTCAAGGTGCATTCATTTTTCTAAAAATGACTCAAGTTTACCATGCCCTTGTTTTTCAGATGAAGAAATAGAAGCTTCGAGGTGGGGGATGTGACTTTATGTCTTACTCAATGGTAACCCAAGTACATGTAATTAAGGTCAAAACCATGAACTGGACAGGCCTCTCAAGGCCTCCCCCACCCCCAGCACAGCCACGCCCTTAGCAAAAGACTACATTTTCTTAAATGCTCACTGTGCTCACAGGCAGGCCACTTTCATTTCACCACATATTTCTCAAGCCATAGCACAAAAAAATAAAAATGAATAAAAGTTTATGGTATCTATTAAGACCAAAATAAAAAGAAAGAGGGAGGAATATATTAGAATCATGAGATGCCCCTTAAAATAGTTCTCATTTCAAATGCCTGGCTACTGCCAACCAAGCATAGTTCACATTCACATTTGCCTCCTAAGGAGGTAGTGAGGAGTGAGAGTGTGAGGAGCATCCATATCTGCTTCCAAAATATCATTAGTTTTATTTCCAGAATCTTTTGTTAAATACTTACATCAAGGCAACCAGAATTGTCACAATCACTTGACAAATGAAGGACAAAGCACTCCTGTGGAGACCAGGGGGACACCAAGGGGCATAAAAATGGACCTCAGTTCTGCTGCGGGTGTGCCCGCTGCCTTTGTGAGAGCCCAGCACCACTGAGGATTAGGGACAAATGGTGAGGATGCAGAGAAAAGGGATTCTAGTGGCCTCCTAAGTATCAAACTAAGTAGGGAGAATTTTATTTGTTGTTTAATTTTTGCTTTTGTTCTTGCAATTTTCTCAGAGATTTATCCCTTGAGGCTACTTAAAACTGTAAGGCATTCCCCTTCTAGGTATCTTCCCCAAAAAGTTAAAGACATCACACCACAGTGATCCAAGCATAGTCATGCTCAAAGCATCATGACTCATAATAGCTGAATTTTGGAAGCAGCCTGTACATTCATTAACAGATGAATGGATAAAGAAAATATGGTTATCTATACATTATGAAGAACTATTTGGCTATAAAGAAGGATAAACTTCCCATCAGAAAAGAATAACCCAAAGAGGTATAAAACAATGCCATATTAATAAAGCTCGATATAAAAAGGGGCTCCAGTAACTGATCCCTTCTGGCAGTTTCCAGCTCTACCAGTAGCTGACCATGGTTATGGACCATTAGGAAAAAACTATGGTAAAATCTATAAGAGCTCAGATAGGGTTTTATACTTCTTAGTGAAATTTGTTCTTCAAATTGTCTCTATCTTGCAGCTAAAACCAGAGAGACTTAGGGCAAAGTATCAGACTTATACGTAACCTCTATCAATAAAAGAATCTAAGTCCAGCAGGTTCAATCACTATTTCAAATTTCTAAGCGTGACCTTCTCCCCAACCTACCCTTTCATTCTAGTGTGCTCGTGATTAGATTATGCATACTCTAATTTCTTAAAAGTTTTGTTTATTCTGGCCTAGAGGCTGCCGAACTCCAAGTAGTCATACAAATGGAACCAATGACAAATGTGCTAGACTTCTTTTACCAGGATCTACTAGATTGAGCTTGTAAACAGCTCATAACTGCTGAACTAAACAATATGACTTCTATGTTGGATTCTGAAGTCCCCTGGACCTTCTCCTTTATCCTCTTTGTGGGCTAGAGTCATAATCCAGCTGACCTTATGATTTGGCCCATGCATTCTTAGATGTTTCTTTGGCTTTGTCTCCTCCAGACTTAAAAGATATGCAGCTAGCAAAATAACAATGCCAGGCACTTACTGAAGGCCTTTAGATAAACCCTCTATAGAGTAACTCTCTCTAACTGCTGATCACAACTAGGACCCTCTTCAGCTGGAAGTAGCCAGAGCTGTCTTCACCCTTTGACCCCTCACAGAAGTTAGGGGTACTTCTTCAGAGGGGGGATTTCCCCTCTGAAGATAGATAAGTTAATTAGATATCTTGTAGGCAGTTAGACACGGCCACCTTCAAGGAACCAACACAGCAAGGAGCCAACATGGAGGACAATCAAGACACATCACTGAAGGCCAGAATTGTAAGAGCTGAGAAACTACTATACTTTTGTGCTTCCCTGGGGATAAATAGCAGTGATTGATATTCCAAATAGGTTTCATTCACTTGGGTGGGGGCCAAAGTCTTAACCCAGCCTTTCCAGGAAATAGCCCTGACTCCCATCCTTACTGAAAATCCTTCTATGCTTGCTATGTGACTTGCTCTCCCATTTGATTCCCATTTAATCAATATTACTTGGGTGACCATACTTGTAACCTTATTGGTTGGTCATGGTTTTACCCCACCTCATGCCCCCCTTGTAATTTTCCTTTGGGTCTTATAGTTTTGTCCCACTTTGTACCTGCCTTACCACATGACTTTGCTGTATAAAAATCTTGAAGAAGTGGGGTGAGTGGGCAACCCACTTTCCAGTCCCCCTTCTCTCTTAGACAGAAGCTTTCTTTTCCTCAATAAATCTTTCCTACTCTTAAAAAAAATAGAAGGATAAACTTGAGTCATTTGTAGGGAAATGGATATAAGTGCCAAATGCAATGCTAAGTGAAATAAATCAGACATGATTTATTGGTATTATTTCTCTCATTTGAATAAGGCAAAGTACAAATAAAGATCAGAATAAAAGACTGTTAAAGGAAACAGAGTTAGATCTTTTGCAAATGGGAAAGGAACCAAGAGACTAAGGGTAGGGGGAGGAGGGGATGAGAAGGGACCATAAAAAAGACTTAGGGTCCATCATGTACATGTACCAACTACCCACAATGAATGTAATTTTATATATTACAAACATGAACTAGATGATGATGATGATTGTGGTGGTGGTGGTGGTGGTGATGGTGAAAAGGAATCTAGAAATAGAGAGGAATGTTGGTGGAGAGGAGAAAGAGAATCAAGATATGTTAAGTACATGTAGCTACACCCTAAGATGAATGTAAATATTATGTATTGCAAATATGCACTAGTAAAAAAATTTTAACACAAAGGCAAATTTAAAATCAATAAAGCCATAAAGGATCAGAAGAAAAATATTCTAAATATGAAACACTTTCTAATAGAAAGAAATTTTAACTCACCTTAAAATTAAGATACCAAGAACTTCCAGAAAGATAGCAGAGCAGTAAGCAATAACAAATCAACCTCTCCAAGATTCAGAATCCAGACACTGGAAAATAACAACTTGGAGTAGAAAAGAAGGAGGGAGATAGATCCCTGGGATCCAGGAAGGATCTGAAGGAAAACTAGACCCCACAGGAAAAGTAAAGAGACAGACCTCAGTGCAGAAAAAAGAGAAGGCAATCTGCACTTTGTTCCCTACTCCCAGCTCTCTCATAAGAGAGGACTGAATCTATAGAGACACAGCAAGGGTGGGTGGCTCAGAGGCCTCCAGGGAGAAATGCACTTGTGGAACAGAGCAATGGATGCTGTGTGCTACAAAAGCTAGTGAATGACTTCAGTCCAAGTGACTGCTGTGTCCCCTGGAGAGAGTGCTTGGTTAGATGCCATTTTAAGGAGGGGCCAACTAAACCTAGGACTGAGAGCAGCCATGGGTTGGCTTCATTTCAGGCCCCCCAGTGTAGAAGTCCCACAGTGACTGGGTGAGGGACGACTGCAGGAGATGCTTAGGGTCAAGGAGCCATGATTAGGCTGGCAAGAGACACAAAGTGTGGCAGGATGAACAACTCAGACCCAAACCCTACCATCAGAGACCAGGATCAGCCTGAACTTCTTTAGATTTGAAAGTACCAGAAATGGCACTCTGACCTAATTCTACTGCAGGCCAGATGGGATTATCCAGCTCTGACTATCTCCTTTATCTACCAGCAAGAGTAAAGTCATGCCCTGAATTGGAAACTATATATATGTATGTATGTATGTGTGTGTGTGTGTGTGTGTGTGTATTTTTTTTTTGTTTTGTTTTGTTTTGGTGATTATTTTGGAAGAGGGGTGTGTTGTTTGTTTTTGGGGTTTTTTTTTTCATGAATGTTAACACTGTATTTAGGATTTTTTTGTTGTTGTTGTTTTGGTCTGTTCTTTCCTTCTTGTCTCCTTCACCAGTTTCCCAGAGCTTGGGTAATCTTTCTTTATCCTTCAGTCTTGCTTCTGCAAATGCTCCTGATGCCATGATGTTCTGCCTGGCCTCAGGCCCAAAGCCAATATACCAACCAACTGTGGACAGAAATGTTTGAAACCATGCACCAAGGTACATGTTTTCTCCTTTAAGTTATTTTTCTCAGTATTTTATCATAGTGATGAAAAATGACATACACAAATCACTCTGCCTTTCTGTGCCAATGTACCCTGTCAGTAATATGGGATAATAATACCACCTACTTCATCACAGCCATCTGAGAACCACATGGGAGGATGGGCATAAACTGATTTACTTTGGCACACTGAAAGTAGTATATTATGATTAGGTATCACAGAAATGGGATGAGGAAGATACAGGTGTGCTAACAGGGAAAGCTAAAATATAACGAGGAAGGGTCAAAAACCTAAAAATACCAGAAGCAACTGTAGGGCCATTGATGTAAAAACTCACTCCAAAACCTATACTGTGCATTTGCTAGCAGTAAAACCAAATTGCGGAATATTATGTAAAATATAGTACCATTTATGTGGAAATATTCAGACCCAATGCAATATCTTTTCTATGGGTAACTTGCAAGTATACCTACATGTACTTTCAAGGGTCTAGAAGAACATGGATCAAATTGATGATTGTATTAACTCTGGGCATACGGAAGTGGTCTGGTCTAGGTTATCCTCTGTACAATTCTGTTGTTGTTCCCATGGAGAATTCATTTAGGTGGGTTTCTTAAATTAGTTTAAATTAAAGTGCTTGGAAGCAACTCCAGAAATCCTCCCTTGAGTAATTAGTTCCATCTCCACTTTCAAATGGGGCATTTTGCTGCAGGCTTCTGTGAAAATGTGTGGGAAAATTGGAACCTACACATAGCATGCAAAAGGGAATTAAGGCAAGCCTCAGCCCAGGTCTCCTGAGTGAGGCAGGTATGTACAGTGGCTAGAGATCAGAGTAGAGACCAGGCCAAGGGGACAAATCCAAGTCTGCTGCATTCCAGTCTTGTGACCCTGTAAAAGTTACCCACTGTGACATAGCCTCCGTTTCTTCCTCTATAAAGAGGGGAGCAATAACAGACCCTAATATGTGAGAGGGATGTCAGAGGACTAACTGAGCTAACATAAGAAGTCCTTGGGACAATGACTAATTTTGGAGTAACTTAGCAACTGTTGTAGCATCCTTCCCAAAATAAACAAGGATGCTTTAACTGTCAGCCAAGCAAAGAAGGTCAGAGTAGGTTCTAAGCTCAATGTCTAACAGAAACTAATGACTACAGTTGAGTTCATGAATCACTATCCCCTTTTACATACTTCCTATGAACTAACTCATCTGATCCTGAGACAATGATCCTATCAGATTTATTCCAGTGTCAGGAAAACTGGTCAAATCAACTAACGTCACGGAACCAGTACAATAGTGAAGAATAATAATAGTGTTAATGGTTACAAGAAATTCCTCATGCTCATACCCATGTGAACTTATAGAAAGCTTCTCCTCCATGGCAGTGGTTAATTTAGTGTTTTATGGACACCTGTCCTGTCTGATTCAGGTACTGGGTCTTTTGCAGGATAAAGTGGTGAGTCCGAACATAGTTTGTGTCTTTGAAGGGATCTCCTATTAGTAGTAGAGCCAGATTTGTGCAAAAAGAATGGTAAAAATTAGTGAGGAGAGGGGCTGTAGCAGGATTTGTAGATACCACCAAGAAGGACAAGCGTCTGAGCTGGGCCTTGAAGAATGGAGAGGATTTAAAAGGCCAAGGGGTGGGGTGATGCGAGCAAAGTCACCAGGAGAGAGGTATGTGTGCTGTATTTGGGGACTGCAGGTCAGCCCACCCTGAATGGCAGGGCAGATGCCAACCCAGGACTAGAGGAGAAGATCTGGGAAGAGAGGAGGCTGGAAATGGGCTGATGACAGCCACAAAAGGGTTTGGTTTCAGGATGAGTGGACGCCCAAGTAATGCTATCTTTTCCAAAAAGTTAAACATCTGTTTCAATACAAAAGTAATCCATGTCCTTCAAAGCACTTGATGAGAAAAAGAAAAATAAGGCAACTGAAATAAAATATACAGAATTTCTAATAGCCCTCACAACAATGGGACCTAATTCAGAGTATCCCTTGCCAGCCTGTAGCAGTGTCTCTCTGTGGTAAGTTGAAAGAAAAGTAAGATCAAAGGCTGAAGAGTCAATAACAGCAATCCTTCAGGTATAAGTATTCTTTTGCAATAAGAAAATTAAATCTCTGAGAGGGTTACCTACAATCTCTTTCCCCAGAAGAATTCCTTAAGCTCCAAGTCCCCCCCTTCCCTCACCACTAGCCCACTCAGAGGGTGCACTTGCCCGTGTGCTTCTACTTAGGACTGCATCCTTAGTCCACAGCTGTCTCCCCAGGGCCCAGACTAGAATCTTGCCCCATAGGTGACCATTGCGTGAGGAGATGGCGCCTTTCCAAGGACTCTGAATGCAAGCGCAGCTCCTGCTGCACTTTCGACACCCACAGACAGTTATGGATGTTATCAATGCTAAGCCTAGGAATTATTTTCTCTCTTCTTCCTCTCCTAACTCCCCCTTTCCACCCCCACTCCTTTTTTCCCTTCCTTGTGGTGATGTCAGCAGGAGATAAGGAACTTGGGCCTGGGATATGCCACCCACATCACTCACCTCTCCAGAGGTGATGTGTGTCAGAGATTTAAACTGCAGGAGCTGCTCAAAGGCAAAAGAGGAAATGGCTGCATGAAACCTGATGGCTGTGCGCTGGTTGATGATCCAACAGGAGCACAAACTCAGAGACTTCAGACACTCAGTGAGGAAAAGGGCAAAGCAGAGGCCCGCACCATAGACGATATTCCCTGACTGGTCTTCGGAAAACTCTAGGATCTTTGGTATAACCAGCATCTACAAGAAACAGGAATGTGGACTGTCTGGATCCCCCCAGTTCTTCAGGCACATGTTTGATGTTTCTTGCCTCAAAGAAGGACTGGGAGGTCAAGGTTAATGTCAGGGATTTGGTGAGGATGAAAACAGACCGAAGCACAGTTCTGCCCACAAGAAGCCCAAAGACTTAGGAGTTCAGGGGACCCAGATCTGAATCCTAACCCTGCCACCAGTGGTCAAACTGAACCACATGACCAGGAGCCAGGGAACCCCATTAATGCGATCCTTACAGGTTCCACACTGAGCACAGGTAGGGTGGGAAATGCTGGAGAGTAGACTGAGAGGAGACGACTCAACACACTAACCACCCCACAAATCGGAGGTCCATGGAGTCATCAGTGCCTGTTCCTTTCTGATCTACATTCAGTCTCCCCTTAGGGGGTCACAATGCCCCTTTTTCTTCTGGGAACACTCTCACCTACCACTGTGCAGATTGGACTGGATTGTCCATCAAAGTGCCCACCATCCACTGGCCAGCTCATGAGGAAGTGACCCCAGCTGAACCAGGCAGACCCTTCCTTTGAAATCAGGAGCTGAGGGGACAGGTAATAGAGCCCATTGATCCCAACCATGATACACAAAGACCATGAGTTCCTGCTGCCTCCATTGCCAAGCTGCTGAGACATTTCTCAAAGCAGCAGACATGTATCCAGCTAGGCCGTGTTCTGTTAGAGACTCATTTAATGTCACCCTATGGGCAGTTTATACTGTGCTTTCAGAGGGTGCTATGGGGTTCAGAGAGGAAATCAAAACACAGAAAGAATAATTAAATCATCCAAAGTCACCTAGCAATTAAATAGCAGAACTAAAATTTGAACTGAACAGGTGGCGACAGAGTTTAAACTGCTATTACACTCTCCTCCCCCACAAAAGTCCTCATTTTCTGCACAGCAGCTGAGAGACAACATCATCCCCAACTCCAGGTGTAGATATGCCCCTTGTTCCACTTCTAGTCTCTAAAGCCCAGAGTCCCCAAACCTCATCACATCTGCACTTACTGGTCCTACTATACTCATAACACAGAAGCACCAACTCATAAATACACTGAAAATCATCCTGGTCCTTTGGAACCGCAGCATCACTCGAAGCAAAGAAGCCTTTTCACACCCACGCCTTGATACTTCTTCATCCCAAAGGCGGCGAAGCCTTGAAAAGAGGGAAAGTGAGCCAAGTGAGATCTCTGCACAGGTCACCAATGGCCCTAGGTCTCACTAACTGAGAGCTTCATTGCAGGAATTTCCAAATATAACAAAAGTATAGAACAATATAGGACTGTGGTTCCCGATTCTTGTCCTCCCTGATCAAGAATTGGCAACATTTTGCTGCACCCCTTTTCCATCTCTACTCCTCTCTGCCTTTTTTTTCTGTAATATTTAAAGCAAATCTCAAACCTATCACTCCATGTACAAATGCTTAAATATGCATCTCTTTCAGAGAAGACTTTTAAAAATCTAACAAGCACAGCAACAATAATTCATTCCTTAATAGCATTGCATGCCCTGTCTATATTCAAAGTACTCTGATTATTTCAAAAATATTTTTTATAGTTAGTTTGTCTGAATCAAGGTCCAATAAGGTCCATGTCTTGCATTTAAAGGACAAATCTGACAGGCCTGGGGTAGGTTTTTTTTTTACATTATTTCTTAGTTTTGTTAATAGATACATTAAAATTGTATACATTTTTGAGGTACCATGAGATATTTCAATGTATATATACATATGTAATGTTCAGATCAAGGCACATACATCTATCTCCTCAAATATTTTTCATTTCTTTGTTATAAGAACATTCAAAGTCCTTCCTTTTTGCTTTTTGAGTTATGAAGTACATTTTTTTATTGTTGTCTGCAGGCACCTTACTATGAAATAGCACACCATGATTCTTCCTCCATGACCTAACACCCATTGATCAGCCTCTCCTGTCCCTCTCTCCTCAGTCTCCTGGGGCCACTGTTCTCTCAACTTCCATGAGACCAACTATTTCAGGTTCCATACATGAGCAGGGTCAGGCAGTGCCTGTCTTTCTGTGCCTGGCAGAGTTCACGTAATAGTGATCTTCAGCTCCATCTGTGTTGTTGCAAATGACAGCATTTCATCCTTTTTCTGTCTGAATCACATTCATTGTGCATGGGCTCCACGTTTTCCTTATCCATTCATCAGTGGCTGGACAGAGAGGTTGCTTCCTGACAGGCTGCTGGAGTCTCATTTCAGTCTGCAACACCTTCGCCTCCTCCCACTTCTATGCTATTCATTTGTTAAAGGAATTATTTATCCTGTAGAATCTCCCCCATTTGGAATGGAACTAATTGCATCTCTGTGATGCTGTCTAGCATAATCTTGCATCTCCTGTATTTTCTATTAAAGTGGTAGTCTGACCTAGAAGCTTACTGAAATTCAAAACTCAAGCCATTTGGCAAAAAGCACTTGGAAGGTGATGAAAATACCGCTGCTGTCTCACATCAGAAGTCACTCGATGGAGGAGCTCCGGGGTAGTGCTAGGTTCAACTCTCTAAGACCACACAGTGCCTGGCATCCATTCTCACAATGCTGAGGCAGATCTGTGAGTGAAGATGTGTCTCCCTGGCTTGCTCATGTCAGATCCCCATCACTGATGACCACACCAGTACTGCTTTTACCTAGGACTGGCAAAAGGGTGCTTTGCCTATATGTGTTGTTCCTTCTGTATTAAATATCTTGAACTTTCTTTTTCTTTTTTCTATTTTTGCTGTACTGAATATTTATAGCAGTGTAAATCGTTATAGCTAAATCTTGAAAGCATCATGCATTCCTGAAAAACAAATGGATGGATAAATAAAATGAAAAACTAGAATGAAAAAGGTGGAATTGGTGAACTAGAAGTGAACAGCAGTGACTTACAATGGTTGGGAAAGAAGCAGACACTTTGCCACCTGCCTACAATACATTTTCCCAAACTTTAAACTGAGTTTACCACCTCTTTTGACTCTTAAGAGTCCTATGATGGCCTGTGAGAGAATTTTTTTATCTTTATTAAGTTTATTGGTACATTTTTAGGTATACAATACAGTTACATTCATTAGGATCTTGTACCTTTGCATGACTTATCTTGGTTCTTATTTTTTCTCCATTCCCCAGCCCTCCCTTCAGCCCCTCCACCCTTCCCAGTTTACAAAGACATTGCTTCCATGAGATTTTTGGGGGGAGGGTACTGGGGATCAAACTCAGGTCCTTGAGCTTGCAAGGCAGGCAGCGGAACCACTGAGCTAAATCCCCAGCTCCATGAGAAAATTTTTACAGCCCACTGTTTTATACCTAAAGACACAGG